AAAAAGTGGATTTCAAGAGGAAGACACTGTTAACAAAACAGAGTCAGAAAGGCCTGTCCTTCACACTGGTAAAAGTTACATGCAGTTAAACATGCTGACCTTACGAGTAGGCAATCTGATTGATGAGAGAGGGATTTGTAGTCACCTAAAGACATTGTAAACCACACCTGGCCATATAACAGCAAGCCTTATAAATGGATGTATTGTCTATGCGATAATATGAACTAAATAAATTAAGGGACTTGAGATTGATCAAGACTAAGCTTTCAGCCGAAACTGGTTTGGCTCAGTGGATAGAGCATCGGCCTGCGGTCTGAAAGGTCCCAGGTTTGATTCCGGTTAAGGGCATGTACCTTAGTTGCGAGCACATCCCCAGTAGGGGGTGTGCAAGAGGCAGCTGATCGACGATTCTCTCTCATTGATGGTTTCTAACTCTCTATTCCTCTCTCTTCCTCTCTGTAAAAAATCAATAAAATATATTAAAAAAAGAAAAAAAAAAGACTAAGCTTTCAATAAATCCCATTTAACAACAACAAAAAAGCTTATTTCTTTAGCAAGTTCTCAATTTTAATAGTCTATTCTACAGACATCTGTATATTTAAAAGCCTAAGCAACCGAACCACTAAATGACCAAACAACTGGTTGACCGGTTGCTATTATGCGCACTGACCACTAGGGGGCAGACACTCAACACAGGAGCTTCCCCCTAGCAGTCAGTGCACTCCCACAGCCAACCTCCCACAACAGGCCAAGATCTCCTGGTCCCTCCCTTAGGCCAGCCAGCCAACTTCCCATGGTCCCTCCCCCTGGTTGGCCAACCTCCAGAGGTCTTTCCCCCAAACTGGCCAACCTCCTGCAGTTCTTCTCCACAGTTGGCTCCCCAGATTGGCCTTGATGATGCTAGGGGAGCAGCCAGCCAGCCTCTCTCAGTCCCCACCCCAAACCTGCCAAGCTCTCATCGTCCTTTCCCCTGATTGGCCCTAATGTGGGGGCCTGGCCGGCCAACCTCTCCTGGCCCTTCCCCTAGCCAACCTCCCCCCCTCCCCATAGGCCCCGATCACAGGCCAGGCCAAGAAACCCCACCTGTGCATGAATTCATGCACTGGGCCTCTAGTACTTACATATTTATGCAAATGAGTATCTCTAAGGAAACATATCATGGCACTAATTGCAATAGCAAAAGTTTGGAAACAAAATCTGCAAAAGTTGGAAACCATTATTAAGAGACAGATTAAATAAGCCATGGCATGTCTTCAGAGTGGGATATACACAGCTGCTATAAAGAATGAAGCAACCCTTTCTCTAAGTACCACTATGGAACAGTCTCCATGGTACATTGCTACGTGAAAGAGGAAGGCGCAGAAGAAGGGATATAGCAGGATATTACCTGTGTTTAAAAATTATATGTTCACTAGAGGCCCATTGCATGAGATTTGTGCACTCTGGGGTGTGGGGGTGTCCCCCAGCCTGACCTGTGCCCTCTCAAAATGTGGGAGCCCCACAGTTTATAGCCCCAAAGATGTAGGCCCCACCCACTCACCCGGGGCTCCTTTATGGATTGCCCCAAAGAGGCAGGCTGAAGCCAGAGGTCCCGCCTCCACGATGCACACATGGGGCCACTGGAAGCATGTCTCCACTGTATGTGCAGCCATCTGGTGATGGCATGAGGGCATTACACGTGAGGATGAGAGGACTATTTAGCCTTTTATTAGTAAGGATGAGATAATATGCTTATGCCTGTGTAGACTAATGTTTAAAGGGACATTCTGATTCTGGTTGCAAAATGGTGGTGGGAGGGCATTTGCTTTTCTCACTTTGCACCATTTTACTATTTGAATTTTGTTTAGGTACCTGCCTTTCCTATTAAATATCTTTTTTAAAAAAGTCAACATCAGCCGAAACCGGTTTGGCTCGGTGGATAGAGTGTCGGACTGCGGACTGAAAGGTCCCAGGTTCGATTCAGGTCAAGGGCATGTACTTTAGTTGCGGGCACATCCCCAGTAGGGGGTGTGCAAGAGGCAGCCAATCGATGATTCTCTCTCATCGATGTTTCTAACTCTTTATCCCTCTCTCTTCCTTTCTGTAAAAAAATCAATAAAATATTTAAAAAAAAAGTCAACCTCACTGTAAATGTTAGTATAGGTCCAAGAATCTCTGGGTTTAAAATGTAAAATTATTTTGATTGAATTAAAAATGTTCTATTCTGTATTGGAATATCTTTTTTTCTTCCATGTTGTACATTGAATCCTTAGACCTTATGACCTTATTCATCTTCTAGCTGAACATTCATATCTGGTTATTCTTCCCATTTCCTCATCCTCCCTGGCAACCACTTTTCTACTCTCCTTTTCTATGAGTTTCACTTTTTTTTTTTTTTAAGATTCTACATATAAGTGATAGCATGCAGTTTTTTTTTTTTTTTTCTTTCTTTGTCTGGTTTATTTCAGTTAGCATAATGCCTTCAAGGTCTATCTGTGTTGTCACAAGTGGCAGGAGTTTCTTCTTTCTCACAGCTGAATAATACTCCACTGTGTGTGTGTGTGTGTGTGTGTGTGTGTGTGTGTGTGTGCGCGCGCGCGCGCGCGCGCGCGCGCGCGCATGCGCGCACGCATCTGGAATCACATATTCTTTATCCAGACACTTAAATCGTTTCTGTGTCTTGACTACTATGCATAATGCTGCAATGAATATGGGGGTGCCAATATCTCTTCAAATATCCTATTTCCATTACCTTTAAATAAATATCCAGAAGTGGGATTGCTGGATCATTTGGTAGTTCTATTTTTAATTTTTTGAGGAACCTCCATATTGTCTGAACCAATTTGCATTTTTACCAACAGTGCACAAGGGTATACTTTCCTCCACATTTTGACCAACACTTGTTATCTCTTGCTAAGGAGCTCATTCCCTATGTTTTATTTCAGGACTTATGGTTTTAGGTCTCATATTTAAGTCTTTAATTGGTTTTGAGTTGATTTTTGTATATGATGTAATATAGGGGTCCAGTTTCATTCATTTGTATGTGGCTGTTTAGTTTGCATGAAAATATTGTTCTTTTCACATTGTACATATATTCTTGGCTTCTTCATTGTAAATAAACTGACCATATATGTGTGGGTTTATTTTATTGCTCTATTTTGTTTTATTGATTCATGTGCCTTAGATCAGTGTATTTTTTAATTAAATTTTATCGAACATTTATTATACAACTAGCAGGCACTGCAAATTTTTTTTTTTTGGTCACTAGTGAGAGGCAGGAAAATTCATGCATTTTGTCCCTCTCAAAAAATATATATTTTGAAAAAGGAGAAAGTACTATAAATTATTTAGGATTAATATTTGATCTCTAAAATAATTAGTAAAGTATATAACCAATAGTTAGAATTTCTATATATGGGCTTACTAACTACTCAGCTCCCTATTATATGCAATACTTTAAACAAATTAATTATGCTCTAGTTTGTTCCCTTGTAAAATGGGGCAATAGTTATTGTACTTCATGATATGGCTTTGATGATTAAATAATATATAACACATTTATATATTTAGCACAGTGCTTTCCATTAAATCTAGTGCAATAAATGTTAGCTGTTTTCATTTGTTTCCTTTGCTTATAAGTTTCTTTTCAAATTGGGGAGTGGAAGCCCCCAGTAGCAGTTTGAGACAGAAAGCAAAGGAAGAATGAATAGAGGAAGACCCATGATTAATGAGATAGGCCCAGCGAATGGAGAAATGAGGAGGGCATTGTATACAGAGGGGCACAATACACAAAGGCACAGAGGTGGATGCCTGGCGTGCTTGGGGAATGGAGGGGAGTAGGCTAGTTTGTGTAAAGTGTACTACTAGGGGTCTGCATGGAAGAAGTATTGGTAGGAGGCGAGGAAACTGAGCAAGCAATGGTTGGCCATGGGGTTCTTATAGGCCATGCTGGGCATTATCTTTCAGTGGTAGAGATGGAAACTGGATAACAGAATATCTGAGATAGGATGTGGGCAGAAGGAAGTGGGAATGTGGAGGAGGAGGATATATGAGGATGGGGTAGTGCTTGATAGGGCTAAAGGAGAAATTGAAGATCCCATGTGGCGGTGGAGGAGCCTAGATAATTAATGGGAGAAATAGAGCCATCCGGGGACACATTCCAGTGTGGGTGAGCTTTGTAAAGGGATGAAGATCCTTCTTATGAGACAGGCAGAAGGGTGAAAAGCAGTGAAGATGCAGATGAGGTGGGATGGACAGGATACAGAGGGTAAAAGGCTGCAGGCCTTTTGGCTTCTTTTCTTAAAGTTTGATCTGCTGAGAATGATCAGTTGGAAAGAAATGATCTGCTGAGTATTTGGGGTGGGATTTTAGGATTTAAGATGAGAGGTAGGGATTTGGATTATCCACTGTTGGAAATGTAAGAAGTAATGGACTCGGGAGGAGGATGAATCTGGCTGATGCAAACGCTTGGTGAGAAGGTACCAGGGAGCCATGTGGTTCTTGCTAATAGCAGCCTAGATTCTAGAAGCAACGAGGATGGAAAGATTACCAGACCCATCCAGATGCAAGGAGTTCAGGAACTGAGGGCATTGGCTCAATGGCAGCTGATGAATAAGGAAGAAGCAAATTTGAGAAAAAGTGACGGAGTTAGTCTGAAGAGAATAGTATGAGGTCAAGTTGCATGGGGTCTAGATTCAGAAAGTAGGTGAAGTGAGGAGAGGTGACAAGACAGATGTGTGGCCAGAGGGAACTTCAGGGTTCAGTATTTTATAGGATTTTTGTTTTCCAAAAAGCACTGAAATTCTCATAACAGCCCAACAGTGTCTGTGTTAGTAAGATCAGGGGCAGACATTTTTCTTGAGAGCTTTGTTAAGGCCACTTAATTTTGACAGAGGATGAGCCCAGTGAGATGTTAACACAGGCATAACAGGTCTCAGCTAGTTCCCTGGAAACCTGTAGTTTTGTCTCAATAGGAAGCAACTAATGTAAGTTCAGTGAATTGTATTTCTTTGCTTTTAAAGGTTAAACCAGTAATCCACAGCAGGATCAACGTGTCAGCTCGATTTAGAAAACCACTTCAGGAACCCTGTACTATCTTGTAAGTTGGAGGCCTTTACAGTTCAAGTTGAAATTGGCTGGTGGCTTTCTTTCAGTTTGAGGTTTGCACTATAATTATAGTGGCACCACTCTGTCAGATAATATGGCTCACTGGCTTTGCTTTTTGTCCAGCTTGATTGCAAATGGAGACCTCATAAGCCCAGCATCTCGCCTCCTCATTCCTAGAAAAGCCTTGAACCAGTGGGATCATGTACTACAGATGGTCACGGAAAAAATAACTCTGAGGAGTGGGGCTGTTCACAGGTATGTCAAAATCATTTTGCCAGTGGTTGGTTTTCAGAACTGTGAAAATATTCCCAGGAGGTCTCAAGTCACTTGGCCCAAATTTGAATTTTGGCTCACCACGTTAGGCTCTATATGCCTTCGTTCCTTTATCTGTAAAATGGGTATATAATAATACTTACCTTATAGATTGTTTTAAGGAATAAGATAAGCCACATACTGAGCTTAAAACAGTTCTTGGCACAAATGCTAACTATTTTTATTCCTTTAATTTAGAGCAATTAGGTAACATTCATTTTGTTGGGGACTTTTTTCTTGACTCTTAGTTAACATGTCCTTTTATTCAGGAGATATTTATAATTCTTTGATGGTCCAAACGATTTGCCTAGCATAAAGAATCAGACCTCAGGAGCTGTTAGTGCAATGAAGGAAGAGGCAGGTAAGAGAGGATAATTAAGTGGGGTTGCCTAAACTTGAGAAATCAAAAGCATTTTTCTCAAATTCTGAAATTTAAGGGAAGATTAAAGTTATGGCTTTTAAATTGTGAAGCCTATAAAAATATCCCTTGATAGAGGCTCACTTATTTAGTTCCTTAAAAGTGGGAGGGTTACAAATAATATATACAAGTATAGAACATATTAATAATATACACAAAAACTTGAAATCTAATCAAGAGTTTTCTGGTTGTTCTTGAATTCTGTCTTTATCCCAAACTCTCTAACATACTCCACTGGTAGAACATACTCTTGATTTTAAGAAGTTATACTCTGCCCATTTTCATTTTTATATATCTGTCTATAGAAACATGTGATAAAACAATTATGTCTTTCAGTTTAATGTGTGTACATATTAACATATATTAACATATAGTTTCATAGCCTTTTAGATTTTAAATATAATTAGGTATAAATAAATATATTTAGTATATAAATATAATGAAAGCAAAACTTCACCTGTGTTAAAAAATATTTCAAGAAGAACAAAAAATATAAATAAAAACCATTTCTCTCTCTTCTGGCTCCCCTTTTCCTTTATCAGCATTATTCTAGAAATATTCCATGCATATAGAAGCCTATAAATCTCTTATTTTAAAAAAAACAACACACAAATGGTAACACACATACACACGAATAAATATATAAATATACCTTATTTTTAGACTGTTTTATTGTTTACTATATTATAGGTATTCCCCATTTTACTGTGACAACAAATCTTGGAGATTTTTATTAGCACAAATAGCTCTATCATATTATTTTTAATGACTGTAAAATTTCCATTTTATGAGTGTGCCCTAATCTATTTTAATATTCTACTCTTGATGGAAACAGATCATTTTCAAACCTTCACTATTGCATGTTCATGTCTTTGCATATAAATAGAGTTTATCAGCAGAATAAAGTCTAGAAGTGGAATTGTATCTTTTGGTAAATGCATTTTAGATTTTGTTAGATACTGCCAACTGTCTTCCAAGACTTTGTACTGACTTGCACTCTCACTAAAAGTGCTTGAGTGCCTGTTGTACATACTTTCACCTGTGCTGTAAAATTAATATTTTGTTTTTTCATTCATGTTGGGTAAAAGTATTATTTTATTTTTGTTGATTTTTATTTATTTAAAGTACAATAATGTCATTCATTGAGTATTTCTTTTGTGCAATGCATTATTTCGAGTGCTTTATGTTGTTAACTTAACTTAACAATCCTGTGAGGTAAATAGTGTTATTATTCTCTTTTAATGAAACATGAGACACAGAGGGGATAACTTACTTGTCCAAGATTATGTAGATAATGACAAACAAGGTATGACTTCAGAGCCTGTGCTCTTCATTGCTAAATTATTCTCTGAATAATTGCCCATATTTATCTTCTATTACATATGAACTATCTGTCATGGCCTTTGCATATTTGTCTTATTGATTTGTAGGCACTCTTTACACATTAGGGAAATTGACCCTTTGTCATATGTTTTAAATATATTTCCAGTCGGTATTTTTGATACTATTTATGTTTCTTTTTGTCTACAGACATAATGAGTTTTGATGCAGTCGAATTTTCAATCTTTTCTTTTGATCATAAGTTTTATTACTAGTTTAGGTCTTTCTCCAAGATTATAAAAATATTTTTCTATGTTTTTGTCTCATACTTTTAAATTTCATTTGAAACTTTGAACCTTCAGGGTTTCATTTTGGGATGAAGAGTTACACAGATCTCAATCCTATGTAATAGAAGCTTAATATGCCAAGTGTCTGGTCTTCTGGATGGCCATTCAACCAATCAGTGCACAATATGCTAATGATATGCTAAGGCTGCTCAACTGCTTGCTTTGACGTGCACTGACCACCAGGGGGCAGTCAATTGGCCATTTGACCAGCTGCTATGGAATGCACTGACCACCAGGGGGCAGAGGCTCAACGCAGGAGCTGGCCCCTGGTGGTCAGTGCACTCCCTCAGGGAGCCTCTCCTGCCACTGTAGCAGCGTTAAGATGTCTAACTGTTGAACATCCCCCGAGTGCTCCCTGACTGTGAGAGGGCACAAGCCAAGCTGAGGGACCCCCTCTGAGTGCACGAATTTCATGCACCAGGCTTCTAGTTATTACATGTTGATTTCTGTTTTTAGATATAATTGCGTCTTTTGACATATACATAAATATAAGCTCACTAAATAAAAAAAATATAAAGCATAAAAAAAATATATACACAACTGCATGCCCAAGATATACCTAATTATACATATGAACAAATTCATACATAGAAATAAAATTTATGCAAGTACAAATATAGCAAAGAAAATATAGTTATATGTCCCTGAACATTTGAATACTTAGAGAAAGTTTATTCTTAATACAATGCCAAATACGAGTAAAATTTGGTTGCTGTTGACTTGGGATATGCCTATTTTTCCTTAAGGGAACATTAAAAAATCTTACGGTTAGATCCTACACTGCACATCCATTTATTTATATATGAAAAACATTTCATAAAAATTGGTTCAACTTCCTATTTACATTTCTTGCCTTTGTAGCAAAGGAACGTCAACAAGAGTCACATAAAGAAAGGCTGAAATCATGGGTGTGGCCTTATGCAGGACCTCTTTCCCGTATAGGAAAACAGTAATATCTTAGCTGTTTTCAGATCCACAGCTGTGTTACCTTTTCATTTCTTGCTATAAAAGTTAATTATGAATTTCGATCTTCCTATTTTGAAGGAAAAACGAAAGAAGAACGTCCGGGTCTAAGCCAGTACTTCTCAACCAGGGGAAATGTTCTCCCTCTCGAGGACATTTGGCAGGGTCTGGAGTCATTTCTGGTAGCCCCAGATGGGAATGGGCCAGCTACTACCACTATCTACGGGGTAGAAGCCAAGGGTGCTGTTATCTGTAGTCCACAGGACAGCCTCCCCACCTCTTCAACTAAGCATAGTCTTGTCCAAACAGTGCTCAGAAACCCTGGTTTAGGTCAAAGCAGGAAAACCAAAACCCTGGGTGAAGTGCTGACTTGTAGGGAGAGGAGTACAATGTTATAAAAGAAAAGATCTTGATACTAACTCAGCACAAACACATCCCAGGATTTTGGTGCCTATTTTCTTTTTATATAATCAGTAAACAAGCAGATAGGTCAATGGACTTTTCATTTCCTTTGCAAATGTTACTAACCTATATTATGCAGTATAGGAAGCTGGATAATTTTTGAATGATTTTCTTGAAATCTATCTAGTTGCTCTTGTTTATAACCTTCAAAACATCTGCATTGTCTTTCTGTATAGTTTTCTAGTAGGCTTTCTCCCTCCCTGTTCTTTAAAGAAATTCTCTGGATACTTTAAATGGTCTACAAAATTATCACTGTTCTTTGAATAAGTAACATATTAATTGTAGTTTGCAGCAGCAGTTTTACAGTAAAGGGAGGTTCTTGTGAAATCTATTCTGGGAAGATGAGGGAATGCAGGGGAAAAAAAGAAAGAAGCAGGAATGTTATGTGGTTCTGCATCATTAATACTGGCAATGGGTTCTTTCACCTCCTGCCCTCTCAACCTCTTATTCTCTGATCCAGTTTTGTGTGCTTAGATGTAACCTGATGGCTGCTCATATACAGAATGCTTTAGGAGGCATATAGTTCTGACAAGTAAATTAAGAAAATAAAATTTAAAAGTACTTACCAAGTGTAAATAGAACAATCAAACTTCAACAGAAGCTGGGCTTTATTTAAGGCACCACTTTCTGTATCAGTTAAATCTTCCCATCTAAAATCTTAATATGGCAGCCTTAGGGATATCATGTTAGATAGTCATTTCATTGGGATGAAACACTGTGCAGCTAGTCAGCAACTGTGTCTGCATTATAATGTTGGCATTTAGTTGAATCTAATTATTTCCTGTCTTTGAAGCAAAGGAAGGGCATTCTTTTTTCTTTTTCCTTCAAAATAGAAAAATCAAAATTCATAATTAACTTTTATAGCAAGAAATGAAAAGGCAGCATAGCTGTGGATCTGGAAATAGCTAGACTTTGAGGCTGTTTGTAATTCAATAATTGGGATAGTAACAGATGAGCCAAAATAAGAACAGAATGTTTTTATTTACTTTGTAATTTTAAGCAGTTTTTTCAATACTTGTTAAAATTTTAATTGTTGGCATTCATATTTTGGCAGACTTTATACTTTAGAAGGAAAATTGGTTGAAAGTGGGACAGAGTTGGAGAATGGACAGTTTTATGTGGCTGTTGGCAGAGATAAGTTTAAGAAATTGCCTTACAGTGAATTACTTTTTGACAAGTCAACCATGAGAAGGTCTTACGGGTAAGTTTTAATCCTCATTTACTTCTCATACTTTAGTTATCACTTGAAGTAGCATTGAGTCTTTTGCTGACCACTGGTATATTTTACATAATCTAGTTTATCAGTTAGACTGCAAAGCATATGTGATGTACACTGACCTTTGTTTTTTTTTTTTTTTGCCATGATTGGAGATTGAGATCTATTGCACAATAATTTTTGGGAATCTAGGGAAGACTAAATAGTATATATATATATATTTTTACTATATATATATTCTTGCTATTCATTTATGATTTTATAAAAAACATAAAGATTTACTCTTACGAAGAAGATACATGGTAATTAGCTTCTTTTAAAAAATATATATTTATATTTTATTCATTTCAGAGAAAAAGAGAGAGTGAAAGAGAGAAATATCAATAATGAGAGAGAATCACTGGTGCCTCCTGCATGCTCCATATTTGGGGATTGAGCAGGAGCATGTACATACTCAGACATGTACCTTGACCAGGAATCAAACCTTGACCTCTTGGTTCATAGGTTGATGCTCAACCACTGAACCACAATGGCAGACCAATTAGCTTCTTTAAAACATACATTATTAGAAGTTTTAAGAATCTCTTAACTGGGTCAAATAATTTTTCAGCTGGTGCATATAAAACATCTAAAAGTGTGTTTTTTTTTTAAACCATAATATTTTATACACCTTTTAATAATTGTAAAATACTAAAACAATACAATTCCACTTGTGCAAAATAAATAGATTAACCGCTTTTATAGTTAATATATGCAAAACTTTATAGATAACAATTATAATTGCTCCTAATACATTGTGGACCATTTTTTCTCTATGAGATGTTATATATTGGTGAAATATGCCTTATTTCAGCAAATAGCTGGACCTTATAGGCATACCTGAGGAGCCCTGGTTCCTGGCACATGCTGGGACCCTCTCTTAGGCTTGCTCACTGTTTCCCAGGATCTACCTCTACAGATATTCCGTGACCACTTCGCTATTGGAAATGGAATATTTTGGTGGTTCCATGCTAGAGTGGGTGATACTTGTAGAGACAGAGCAGAATGTCACCAATATGTTGTCCATTAATTCACAGTTTGTGAAGCCTGATGGCGAGCTTAGCTGAAGGTCTCTAGATAAGTATGTATTAGATGAAACCAAATTTCAGGGATGTTGTTTAACGTATGAAAGAGCACATGGTTTTCCAGCACTTTAGAATTACTCACCAGCAGACTTACTGCTAACCATCCTTACCCATCCATGAAATCAAATTCTTCCACAGCCTGCCAAGCAACACTGGATCAGTCTGCTGTTAGCTTCAGTGTGTAATTGATGGCAATGGGAAAACTCTTAACTCATGGTGACCTTTCTCAGGCATATTAGTAAGATTACATTTATCTCTGTATCCTCTTATTTACAGAGTTTCAGAATAGATCTTTTTCTAATAATACAGATATCCGTGAAACAACATTCCTATAGTTGAAGAGAGCTTTTTATTTTTTGACAAGAGTGACTAGTTTAGAAAGACCTGAATAAAAATGTCAGTGTGCTATCATTCTGAGCTCCTATCAGAGGCAGACAGCACAGGCATTTAAAGAGAGATCAATTTATTGTTTGAAACTCAATTTAGCAAGATCATTACTCAGCTTGAGAATTAAATAAAAATGCTGTGAAAGAATATACTGTGGTACTAAAGATTTATTGTAAGTATAAATAACAATAGTGTGCAGAAAAATATTAAACATATTTTGGAGTGGCATTTTGAAATGTTATGGTGGGTCTTGGAAATTGGGAACGTATATAGTACTTTTGGGAGACACTGATATCAGTAAACAGTTGACTTACAATTTGGAATGACAAATTGGGATGACAGTTGTCTTGCGTTGTATATTATTTGTAAATAACACTCATTATTTCTAAATTGCAATTTGTCTTCGCAGTCAGAAAGCTTCTTCACTGCCTCCCATTGTGGGATCCAGAAAGTGTAAAGGGAGTGTAAGTATCAGATGGTTTACTCAATAATGTCCTGTATTTCTGTACAATACATTGAGACTGTCCTTTGGATTTCAATTAAACTTGAAGAAATAAAATATAAACAATTGTGTGAAACAACACTAGGACATTGATGTTACAATTAAGGTCTTATAAGAGAGTTAACATTTTTAGAATATATATTTTGAAATAGGTACCTTTTTCCTTGTATATGGACCTGATGCAAATTATATATCACAGTTGAAATCTAGATAACAATACATAAAACTAGAAGAAATGCTGGGTAGGGCACATTAGTGGCCCACCCAGCCCTATTTCCTATCTTTGACAAAGGCTCAAAAAGAAGTTTTTGTGAGAAAATAGTGACCTCACAGATAGTTCTTTAAAAGATTGAGGATCATTTCAAATATTTATTCCCTATCTGAATCTTTTCCATTCATCATTCATTTATCTGCAAATTCAACAAAGTTTATTAAATGCCTATTATGTGGGAACTGTGGCACACAGTTAGTAGGTAATTCCTTAAGGTCTTTGTATTTTCGTCTGTAGTTCTCATGGAGATGAGATTTATGTCATGCCACAGGGTTGCTTTGACAGAGTACTTCTAGCTAAGGTGTCTCTTTCCACCCTTTTGGTTGAATTTCCAGACCCGTAGTGGTCAGGACTGATTTGATATTTCCCCTTTCTGAATTAAGGAAGCAAAATTCTTATTATGGTGTTTTGTGAAATAAATGGCTGTTTGGCAATGATACTGCTTCCTAGAAATATAGATATTCCTCCATCCTTTTGGTTATATCATGTGAAATTCTTGAAAAAAAGAAAAATAATTTTGCGTGAAGAAGTAATGCTGAATTTAGCATAACAAACAACAAACCTTTATTAGCCACTCATTCACTGGAACTCATACAACTTATGACAAAGCACTTGCCCCTCAAGAAATGTGCAATCTCATTGGAATAGGGAAGAAAGCTTGAAAAGGTAACCAACAAGCTAAAAACCAAATTTGTGATGGGACTGGTAAACATGAGAGAGACAGAAGGCATCAATGTGCACTGGTCAAAGTACATGGAGAAAGTTGAATTAGAGTTATGCCTTTGAGGACTGTCTAAGATTAAGGGATAGTCAATGAGGGGGAAAGCGCTTCAGATAGAAGGAACAATGTGAGGAAAGGAGAAGCAATAATACTGGCTGATACTTAGGGAACACTATGACAGTGTCTTTTCCGGTGTGATTTACTTAATCTTCACCCTATGAGGCAGGTACTATTATTACTTCATTTAAAAATAAGAAAAGGAAGCAGACCATGGAAGTACCACATCTAAAGGCTTCTGTTGAGCAACTGGCAGGGAAGGGATTGCGACCAGGTGGCTTTCCTGGAGGAAGCTTGTGCTTCTACTCTGCCTGCCTTCCTGATCACCTATAATGCTTGCCTTCCTGCCTGATTGCCCCTAACCATCTCCGCGTCAGCCCCTGCTGCCACTGCTTTGTCCAGAAAGACATCGGAATGATGTCCAGAAGGTCATTAGGCTGTCCGGTCTAATTAGCACTTTTATTATTATAGATTATTTTACAGAGAGGAAGGGAGACAGAGAGTTAGAAACATTGATGAGAGAGAAACATCTTTCAGCTGCTTCCTGCACCCCTCTCTCCCACAGGGGATATGCCCCGAACCAAGGTACATGCCCTTGATCAGAATCGAACCCGGGACCTTTTAATCTGTAGGCCAATGCTCTTATCCACTGAGCCAAACCAACCAGTGCTTATTATAGATTTTTAAAATTCTCACCTGAGGATATGTTTTATTTTGTTTTGTATTTTTTAAAAATACGTTTTTATTGATTGTGTTTTTTTTTATAGAGAGAAAGGGAGGGAGACAGATAGTGAGACAGAAATATCGATGAGAGAGAAACATCAATTGGCTGCCTTCCACACATCCCCTCCTGTGGAAAGAGCCTGTAATCTGGGCATGTGCCCTGACCAGGAATCAAACCTGCCACTTTTTGGTGTATGGGACAACACTCCTACCAACTAAGCCACTCAGCCAGGGCAGTTGTGTATATTTTTAAATTGTGGCCCTAGTCTTGAAAACAAAAGGAAGATTTAAGTGAATTGTCTTAAGTTTTACAAAGTTTGAAAAATAAACCCATCAGCAAAAGGCTGTTCTCTACCTGAGAGGCCACTCCATATAGAATCAGAGTGCCCTCTAGTGGGAGAGGTGCAAAATCAGAGAAGTATTTGAAAGTTAAAGCCAAAGACTTTTTTAATGACTATATGGCTAATACATCTTGTGATCAATGATTTACAAATTAAGATATTATAATTGTTAAGGTTTTGTTTTAAAAGACACCCACATCATTATCCACATATCACAGAGTCACTGTGAAGCAAGAAAAGTTCCACATGCTCCTAAAATGCTCCACCATTTACCCGGTGGAGAAGCTGTGTTCAGCGTGGATGGGAGGGCTTCTCACACGTGCTCTCACCAGATGCTGAAGCGAGAGCAGCACCAGTCTGATTGCTGTCCAGTTCCTGCTCTTCAAGTCCTCCTCCCAGGGGCATCCCTGAGACACAGGTGGTGAAAGCTGCTCCAATAGGCAAAACCCTCACAGGATTATTTTAAACTTGATGTTTTATGACATGTTTTTGTGGGGGCTGGAAATGAGTTTCTGCAGTAATGAAATAAACCTGAGCTGTTTCGATTTTGTTGGACATTGCTTTGGGAACAACATAAAAATCCCAGTTTCGGTAGAGTGAGGGTGATAGAAAGGCTCTTGTTAGTTTTTTCCCCCCAAAATATATTTTTGTTGATTTCAGAGAGAGGAAGGGAAGGAGAGAGCGATAGAGACATCAATGCTGAGAGAGAATCATTGAAGAGTTTCCTCCTGCACACAAACCACTGGGGGTGAAGCCTGCAACCCAGACATGTGCCCTGACTGGATATGGAACCATGACCTCCTAGTTCATTGGTCGATGCCCAACCACTGAGCCACATCAGCCAGGCTCTTGGTATTTTTTTTTTTTTTTTTTTTGCTGGTTTGAACTTGAACTTTTCCTGTCAAATAAGCTGAGATATGTGTGAGGCAAAAGGCAGGACAGTGGTTTAAGTATGACTGAAGTCAAGTTTTTACATAAGACATGCTATAAAATTAGCTGCTTCTTGATTCTTTCCACTGTGTCACTTCCAGGTGGCTATTTTTAGGGAACCATACAATATAATAGCTGTTAATAGTGCTTTGGCATCAAGAAGCTCTTGTGTAACAGAAAAATCAGACCTGGGTAATCTTGAGAAACTAAGTTCCTTTATTATCTGTAAAATGATGACAATTGTATCTATCTATAAATTTGGAAATATTTGTGTTAATGGGTATTTAGCACATAAGAGCCACTCAATAACATTGTGTCATCAATTGGCATAGCTGTGTGAGATGGCAAAACTAAACTTCTCTAATCACGCTATTCCCAAAATAGTAATGACTATATGTGCTCAAGTAATTAGTCTCAGGTGGAAGTCTCCAAAAGAAGGAAAATTTCCTTCTTCATTTCTCTCTCTTTCTCTCTCTCTCTCTCTCTCTCTCTCTCTCTCTCTCTCTCTCTCTCTCCCTCTCTCTCTCTCTCTTCTCTTAGGATATATGTATCTCCTTATATATCCCAATATATAAAAACCCTGGGTCTGTTACAACTGAGGGCTTGACCAACCAGAAGTCAGAGTTGGGTTGCCATGATGACTGAGCACTGACTGCTATGCTGCAGGCATGGTGACCCAGCACTGACTGCTTATGGGGCTGAGAATCAGCCTGGAGAGAGGCCTGAAGAGAGAAGCCAGGTCTGATCTATAGCCTCTGTGGCAGCTGTTGATTAGCACTTGCCTCTCTCCAGGCTTGGCCTGCAGCTGTGCTTCCATTTCTCTTCAGACCTCCACCAGGGCTGCTGATCAGTCCTACCTTTCTGACCAGGCCTCATTGATAGGCCCAGAGACACTGACTGGCATAGAAACTGACCAATCAGAACCAAATCTGGGTAAACTGTGAGGAACCAATGGCTGCCTAGGAGGGAGAGCTTTTGACACTGACTGGTATAGAAAACGACCAATTAGAACCAAATTGACTGGCAGGGGAAGGCAGTTGGGGGTGAGATCATGCCAGCAGGGAAGGGCAGTTGGGACAACCAGGCCAGCAGTTGGGAGGGACCAGGCCTGTAGGGGAAGGCAGTTGGGAGCCATCAGGCTGCAGAGCAGGGCAGTTGAGGGGGGACCAGGCTTGCAGGGGAGGGTAATTGGGGGTGACCAGGCTGGCAGGGGAGCAGTTAGGTGTTAATTAGGCTGGCAGGCAGAAGCTGTTAGGGGCAATCAGGCAGGCAGCCAGGTGAGCAGTTAGAAGCAGCAGCCCCGGATTATGAGAGAGATGTCTGACAAGGGCTCCCAGATTGGAGAAGGTGCAGGCCAGGCTGAGGGACAACCCGGCCCCCCCCCCCCCCCCCCCCAGTGCATGAATTTTGTGCACTGGACCTTGTATATATATAATTTCTTACATATTTTTTATATTAACATTTTAGGTGAATTAACATTTTTAAAAGGATAAGCATTTAAATTATTAACCAATCTTCTATTTACAAAACAAATTTTTCCCTTGTTCTCATTTTTGTTTTTACAAAGTGCCTTATGAGTAGTCATTATTGGGTAATGCCTGAGCAGCAGTTTTGAAAGTCATGCCCTATATAGTTATTGGAGAATAAACTATTCTTTCTTGATGATCCACAATCACCTTTCTGAGTGTTGCTACCAGGAACGTGGTAAAGCAGAATTTTCTGAACGTTCAACAAGAGAGTTTTTAAAATTATGTAACCCCTAGGCATTCCATTCCAGGATGGGGCTCTGCTTCTCCATTGTTATACCCCTCTGTGAACAAGACTTTTCCAAGTGAGCTATAAAACTTGTTGTGCCGAGATCCAAAGCTTCTCATTCACAACACTTCATATTAGTCCCTGGAAGTTCCACTGCATCTCTGAATGTTCCCATAGGCTTGCTAGAGAGGTTACTTGTTTCATACAAGACTTTTACAGTTTTAAAATCTTGGAATGAGTAGATATGGTTGAAAATAGTCTGGAATATGAGACCTGGCTGATCGCTTCAGAATCTCCTCTATAATCATATTATCTATTTCTTCTGCCAGGCAATTTAAGGCCTTTCAAGAGAGAATCATTGAAGAAAAGAAAAGGAATAAAAAACATACCATAGCTCTGATAGCAGCTAATGCAATAATTAAATGGAAACTGTATGTTTAAATTGCAGTCTGAATAGGAAATTAAATTATGCAAAAAAGTGTTATAGATTCAGACATATTTTATACTGTTAATAAATCTATGCATAATTCATTTTCTTGTAGGCTGTGACAAAATAGCATAAATAGCTTCATTTGTAAGGCTGTGCATTTTGCTGTTCTTAATTGGGTGATGGCTAAAACTATTTAAATACTTTTCAGTGACTGAATATATAAATGTTTAAATTGAGCAGTTATAATAGGTTTCCAGGCAGATTTGTTTATTTTATATTACTACATTTATTTTTAGATACTAGCATAGTACAAATATTGCATAAAGATTGCACCCAATATGTGTGTTTGATAGGATTTTAAGAAAAATATATTATCTCTTTGCTCTTATAGAAAGCACTCTGATACTCATTGAATGAATACTATGTTAGGCACAGTACCAGTTACTTTATAAATTGGGCCATTTTATTCTTATTATAGACCTAAAGGCAGGTACATTAACTCCTTTTAACTGATGAGGAGAAAGGCCAAACAAGGAAGGAACTAGTCCAAGTTCCCATAGGTTATTACTGGCAGAGCAGTGGCTCTGAACCAGGTATTTTGGGTTTCTAAAACTTACAATTTTTCTATTGCCTGCAGCTTCACACCCTACACACTCAGGTAAGTTTAGCACTGGAGCATCTGAGAGTCAAGGCTGTCTTGTTAGGAGGGAGTCTCTTGCTGTAGCAATGGCCACACAGTAGCTGAGATCAGCATAGCTGTCCCTTGAGCACTAACAGTAACCACCACTGTAGTGGCTATTATGTGGCTCCACAGGAGCCATACTTGGGCCAGTGACAGGAATCGCTAAAACTCAATCCACCTTTCTGCTGAGGAGCCCACTTTGCAAATATAAGGTCTTCATTTCCAGAAATATTTGGGGACTGAGGCAACCACTGGAGGTGTGATTATAGGTGCTGCCTTTCAGAAATGTGGACTGCTGGGGCCTATGTTGCTCTGGATTTACAATTCATAAAGACCATTGCAGTCACCAACAGATGAATAAATATTGGAGATTTCTACAAGCGCAGTGTATGTCTCTTCAAATGACTGTCTCTATACATTCACAGTGACTACTAGTTAAGAAGGTATTTCTTGATTAACTGATCAAGCTGAGGATTGTCTCTATTTCTCATTTAATAGATAGCTGCTGATTCTTCAGAAAGCACAGGAGGGAGGGGATGGTTAGGGCAGAAGGCTTGCTGTGCTCTTTGCCGAGGGCATGACCTTGGATAAGGCTTACTTCCTAAGCACTAAGCCTCCTTTTCTCCTCTTTACAGTGGTGTGACAACAGTACCTGTCTCACGGGGTATGAAGATTGAGTGACTTAATTTTATAGAATACATGGTAATATTAACTAATCAACAATCGTTATTTTTCTTCTTCCTCTCCTAGACCCTTTTTTTTGCCACTAGGAAGAGTGAATTGTAGGTATGAAAATGGATAGAAGCAGAATCAGCACAATGCATCCATCTCTGGCCCCTGCCCCATTTACCTAATGCCTAGTTAATTAATTAATTAATTAATTATTTATTTTTTAACTAGGAATCACTTTGGGAGTTCATTAGCCAATAATAAGGGTCTAATCTTTTGCCACTTAGGGAAATGATCGCCAATCTAAGTCAACTGTAGGATCCAGCGACAACTCATCTCCTCAGCCCCCAAAGAGGAAAGGGAAAAAGGAGGATGTGAATGTAGAAAAACCCACAAAAGGGAAACAAAATCTAAAGTTAAAGAACTCACCACTACCAATTCCAGACAGTGGTAAGTTTGTTGTTATTATTATATTGTTATTATTTTTAGGTTAAGGCTGTGATACAATTTTAATGCTTAAAGAGGTCTATTTGTTCCTCTGGGCACACAGAAGATATTCCTACTTGTCATACATGAGTTTTAATAGAAGATCATGTGTGTGTGAGAGATGCTGCTTTTCAGGATTAATTTCTATTTGTAATTAGAGGTTGTGCTACAAAGAGGTTGTGCATGTGTTTTGAGATGAAATATTTCTATAGCAATCTTACAAAACAAAGTAAATTTAACCATCCTGTGTTCCTCCTGAAAGTGCTTAATTACATTTTTTACATTAGTCTTTCTTACTTGTGTGTCCACAACCTTTGTTTACATTCATTACGAATTACCTTTTAGTCATAGATCGCTTCCCCCTCTCCCGCAAAACACATTTTACTAATTTGCTGATATCCCAGAGAATAAATACACAAAACTTTACTAGTAAACAATATTTACCAGAATTAGTTGTGTATCTTACATTACCAGGCAAGAGCTTGTCTAAAAATAATTTTTTAAAATTTTGTCTTAGAACAAAATTTCAGAATAGAAGTGTGATGAACTAAGGACATATGCTATCAGAATTGTGGATTTTCCCATTAGGTTTTCATGACAACAAGCTCTTATGGGTTTCATTATAAGAGCGTTCTCAGTGGGGTGAGCACATGGCAGTGAAGCAATGCTGTGTCAGAGGGCTTCTGGGACACAGCCCAGCAGAGTGACTGCTTCTTCTTCCTGGGACCCATCCATACACACCTCAGGGGACACACTAGGGTGCCTATTAAGAGGATGGATGCCATAAGGTTTCAGATGTGTGGCCAGAGCTTTATTTTCTTGCCTGGGAGCTCCAGCTCATTTGAGTCTATATGAAGATTCACATTGAAATTACAGCTAAGGTGGGCTTCACAAATGAAGAGACAGCATGAAATCTATGAGGGTTTAGAGGATGCTGCACAGATCAGTACAGAGTTAAAAGGAAGATGTGTTGAGACTAAGTTAATTGAACAGGCTAACTGAATGAGCTAATTACATAGAGAAGAAAGAGTAGAGGGTGTTTAGATCTTCAAAGGTTGAAATGATGGAGGTTAGCTGGAAGCTGAGTGTTCCAAATTCTTGTTCTAGTTCAGCTGTTGACCCTGGACAAGTCACTAAACATTTCTGGCTCCCATTAGCTCTCTGCAAAGTGTGGGTTCATATTAAGATTTATCCTTAAAGTTTTGCTTGTCTTTAAGTTTGTGAAATCCTTTTTCAATGCCCATGAAACAGGGATGCCATGGTGAAATTCAGTCAATAAATGTTTATTGAATGCTTATTGTAGAGCAGACATGAAAGGAAAAAAAGCTACCCATACCTTGAGCATTAAAAGTATTTTAGTTTAATCAATATATACTGGATAATGATACTCCCAAGGCCATGGGATATGTCTTTTTTTTTTTTTTTTTTTAAATACGTTTTTCATTGATTTCAGAGAAGAAGGGAGAGGAAGAGAGAGAGATAGAAACATCAATGATGAGAGAGAATCATTGATCAGCTGTCCCTTGCATGCTCCCTACTGGGGATTAAGCCCGCAACCTGGGCATGTATCCTTCCTTGGCTGGAATCAAACCTGGGAACCTTCAGTCAACAGGCCAACTCTCTATCCACTGAGCCAAACCAGCTAGGGCTGGATTATGTTCTATTAATTTATTTTTTTAATCCCCCAACAACTTGCACATTTCTCATAGATCTGAGATACTTAATAAATACTGAGGAATGAATGATGGAAGTTACAAAATAGAGAAATCTTTGTAATACTTTAAAACTCACTAAGGAACAGGACCCATTTTAAACTTTTCATGAATTATTTTATATTAAAGACTTTTTAATAAAACATTACTTGCTTATTTTCTGTGAGGCTCTTATTAATTCATGAAGATCCCAACTCCTACTTCCAATATGTTTTTTGTTTTTTTTAAATCTTTAGATGTAGTAGTTTTCCCTCAGAAGAAAGGGAAGCATCATCTGTCAGGTATCTCATTTGTAGAAATTTGGGGATACAAGATGCTGTACCAGTATTTACCTCTTTTACAGGAAAGTAAGTTTTATTAAAAAGTTGAATTATCAGTACTTTTGATTTTGTGAAAATCCACAAATAGTTCTCAAAAAAGTATATTTTTGGAGATGAAAATAACAAAAACATATTGAATATTGAAGCAAGTCATATTTTAAATGTGCTAATGATAGAATCAATGAACAAAATGGTACTTGACCTAAAAGATGAAAACTAATTGCCTCTGCCTGCCTTATCACCCCTAACTGCCCTCCCCTGCTGGCCTAATCTAGCCTCTACTGTCCTCCCCTGCAGATTAATTTGGTTCTGATTGGTCGATTTCTATACCAGTGTCAAAAGATCCTCCTCCTAGGCAACCATTGGCTCCTCACAGTTCACCCAGATTTTGTTCTAATTGGTCGGTTCCTATGCCAGTCAGTGTCTCTGGCCTATCTCTGGGCCTGATCAGAGAGGCAGGACTGATCAGCAGCCCCCACGAAGGCCCAAAGAGAAACAGAGGCATGATGGCTGGCGAAGCATGGAGAGAAAGAGAGAGGCAACGGCTGATCAACAGCTGCCATGGAGGCTGAGGATCAGACTCTGCCTCTCTCTCTGGGCCTCTCTCTGGGCCTGATCCACAGTCCCCTTGGCAGTCAGTGCTGGGTTGCTGTGCCGTGGCGACCCAGCACTGACTACAGGACTGACTTCCAGTGTTTGGTAGAATCTTTGGTCGTTTTGGACATTACTAACCCTGGGTTTTTAAATATTTGGATTGCTTTTTGTGATGGAGTCATAGTTCTTGAAAAGTTCTTTCATTTTCCTTGTACTCAAGTTTCTCTTTTCTTCCCTCTGCATAATTTTTAGATTCCTATCTTTGATATCACTAATTCTTTCCTCCTTCCCGTCAGCTCTATTTCATATGCTTTGTAGCTCATTCTTGATCTCTTTTATTGAGTCCTCATCTCCAGAATTTCTATTTTTGTTTTTTCTCAATGTTTAATCTTTTTAGTAAAGCACTTATTTTGTTTGCTGATTCCCCCCTCCCACCCTGAGTTAAATTGTCTATCTAGGTTTTCTTACATCTTGTTGAGCCCCCCCCTTCCCTCCCAGAACTTCAATGTTGTAATCTATCATTTAAGTCTCTATATTTCTATGTCTCTAAGTTTGTTTTCTGGAGCATTTTCCTTCTGAGCTGCCTTGTTACCTTGATTATTCATGATTCTTGATAGATTCTTTTTCTGTCTAGGCATCTTTATATAAGTGGCATTTCTCTAATAGATTGATAATTACAAATCTTTCTATTGTTTTCCAGTAGGTGGTGCTGAATCATAAGGTTTTTGTTTGTTTGTTTGTTTGTTTGTTTGTTTAGTTCTCTTGCATGTCTCTGGCTTTTCAAATCTCTTGGGATGGTGGAAAGTGGCCTGTGCTCCCTTGGAATATGGGTGCCTCTCCTGTGATCTGGTCACTTCAGTCTCAGAGGACCAACCTTCATGGGAATATGGTGGGTGATGTGGCTCAAGTTTGTGAAATCCCATTGCTGCCTCTCACAGACACAGATGCCGCAGGCAGTGTAGCCACAATACATAGAGATATGGTGAGCTGGGGAACCCAGCTGCCTCTTCTGTTATTTTACCCTCCTGACAGTGGTGACCAGTAAAGCTCCATGGCATCCCCCCCTCCATCCCACTTGAACCTGGGGTTATTAACAAAGTCCACCCTTTGCTCAGGGAAAAGGTGATTCTGTAGTACCAGTTCTAGGATTTCAGATAATGTGCTCTGCTACTGGACACCAAGGGTGGAGGGAGGCATGTTTTGGGAGGTTCAGAGGTAGCCAGGCTCTGTGGCTTTGTTTTTGTATCTTGAATGTCAAATGTCAGACACCCAAGGCTACACATCTGTGTTTTGTCCCTGCCCAGGTCACTGAGCTCAGCCATAGCTTGTACTGTCCCTTCCTATAAGAATGCTCACTGGATCTCCTTACTCCTCTGAGCTGAAGGGAGTACCAGCCAAAACCTGATTCCTTCCCTCTACCCACTGTGAGCTCTCTGCTTCAGGGCTGTGTCTGTGTGGCTCGCCTTAACTTTTCTCCCTTCTCACCTCCCAGGTTTGGTCCCACTTGCTGACCTTTACATGTTGCAATGCATGGATCTCTCAGATGTGTTTGTGCATTGAGCAGGGAAGTTTTTGTTGAATTATAGCTATTTAAATTGTTGAAACTTCAAAGGGAGAGATCAAATGGATCTCTTACCCACCATTTCTCTCTAATTGTTTTCCCCAGTAAGAGGCTTATACACTGATACAGAAGCACATAAAATAGTTTAAGTGAAGCATTTTGTACCTTTTTATCTTAATAAAGAGAGCATATAATCTGGAAAATGAATCTTGAATTCCCAAATTTTATTCCAGGGAAAAAAGAAAAGAAAAGTAAAAAGGCTTGTGCTGTTCATTAGATTAAATCATTGTTTGGTGAGTGAGTTAAGGATATTAGCTTAAATCTATACTTTTGAAAACTTAGCTATTTCTCCTTATCAGATCTTTCTCCAGATGTTTTTGTTTGTAGAAATTTTCCAGGTTATAATATTAAAATTATCTCTTTCTCTTTTCATATTCCTTAATTCATCCTTCATATTTATTATTGCAGTTGTTTTTTGTTTTAAGGTCATCTATTTTAGTAATTAGAACCAAGTGTGTGCTTTTGGATATTCATATTTCAAAAGGCTCTTCTTTACAAAAGTAAAAGCAGTAATGACTTGCAGCAAAGTGAAAGGATGTGGTGAGACAAGAGAGAATGAGTAAGAAATATAAGAATTTAATACTGTATTCTGTATTTGGAAGTTTCTGAGAGAGTAAATCTTAAAAGTTCTGATTATAAGAAAAAATTTTATAATTATGTAGGGGACAGATGTTAACTAGATTTATTGTGGTGATCATTTCTCATTGTATATAAATA